ATTGATTTAAGGGGAATCCTCACTGGATTTTGCCCGAACGCGTCGGATTTTCACGTCAGCATTTACTTGGATACTTTGTCAAGGGAAGCACCAGTCTCCGAGGTAGGTTAATCTTACATAGTAAACATTGTACCTGCATCATGTCTAGTACAACACTGGTGGCTAGCGTTTAGTTTCTTTGATCGTAACGATTACAATTTCAACTTGACCATAGTAACCTGCGCAGTCAGAACGACTTGTGGAGTGACAAGGTCGTGTCCTGGCCCTTATTCCGTCATAGGAATGAGTTAGCATTAATACAGGGACATCTCGTCGTGTAAGGTTATTTGTGTTGTGCGTGCGTGCGTGCGTGCGTGTGTTTTGTGCGTTGGAGATTGGTGGGGATGCAATTATAGTTTATGTTGGCCACCTTATTTCACCATCTTTACCAATAATCCTTTCCTGTAATAATCAAGGGGCGGTGGGGTAGCCTAGTGGTCAAAGTGTTGGCTCGTTCGAATCCCCACATGGGTACAATGTGTGAAGCCCATTTATGGTGTCCCCCCGCCGTGATGTTGCTGGAATTTTGCTAAAAGCGGCGTAAAACCAAACTCAGTCAGCCATTCTAATAATCAAACACGTGGTTCGGGTAGGGCTAGGGTTAGGGTTAGATTGGGGTTAGCGTGGCGAACATACTTAGTATCCTATAGCGGCTCCAGATCCACTCGGGGCGGTGGGGTAGCCTAGTGGTTAAAGCGTTGGCTCGTCACGGGTTCGATTCCCCACATGGGCACAATGTGTTAAGCCCATTTCTGGTGTCCCCCCGCCGTGATATTGCTGGAATATTGCTAAAAGCGGCGTAAAACTAAACTCAGTCAGTCAGTCAGTCCAGATCCACTCGACAAACTGTCGTTTAAATCCATTTAACTAACCAGCGATCCCTTCATAGATTGCTCGTCAATCCATAGTTTATTTTTTGTCACGCTCGCTAACTTGTGTGAAAAATAAGAGATAATCTACTTGTTTTACTGTCCTACAGGTTTTCATAAAGTATTGTAAGATTTATTCTTAATTCATTAATTTCTATCGTCACGATATGACTGAAATATTGCCGTTGTGATGTAAACTTCTGACTCACTCAATCTCTCATTTAAAGTCAGGAATCAAAGAAATTCAACATGTTTCTATAACAGCAACGGATATCTTGCAACACCACGCTACTGCAATAGTTATTTAGAACCTACAGAGACATCGATTGCCTACCAGGTAACACAGCTTCGAGTCGAGTTATAGTTACTTCGTCCTTGTCAACAAATATAATGTGACCTACTTTGACGAGTGACTCTCAACTGCGGTGACATAACTGGGTTTGTACCCTCAGATTTATAGGGTGTTGGTTTCGCCAGCCATTCCTGCGTATCGAGGCTCTCATTCTGCCAGTATCATAGCGGACTGGGTGTGTACTTAGATACATGTTAGAAGTTATTTTAAGTGTCTGTGTGTGTATAAGCATCAAGTACTTGTTAATCACTACTGACACAAGCCAACATTTGCTGTCAAGTTAAGGTATGGTTGACCAGCAGCAATGTTCCGACAACCTTTACAGGCAAGAGATGACAAAGTCCACAGTATCAATACTTATCATGAGATATATGATCTTCATTTTTTGTGATTGTTATTGTTGTTGCTTAGGGGCGGCGGGGTAGCCTAGTAATTAAAGCGTCGTTGAAGACCAACCGTGATATTCCTGAAATAGTGCTAACAGCGGCGTAAAACCTCAGTCAGTCAGTCACTCACTCAATCACTGCTGTGTAATTTTATACGTAACGACAATTTACGCTATATTACAGGTGTATTGAGGGGACAGTGTTCTGGTAGTGACAGGTTATCGGGGTATGGAAGGGGCAGTGTACTGATAAAGACAGGTTACCGGTGTATGGAGGGGACAGTGTACTGGTAGTGACAGGTTATCGGTGTATAGAGGGGACAGTGTACTGGTAGTGACAGATTACTGGTGTACGGAGGGGCCAGTGTACTGGTAGTGACAGATTACTGGTGTACGGATAGGCCAGTTTTCTGGTAGTGACAGGTTACCGGTGTATGGAGGGGACAGTGTACTTCTAGTGACTGCTTACCTTTGTATGGAGGGGTCAGTGTATTGGTAGTGATGGGTTACCGGTGTATGGAGGTGACAGTGTACTAGTAGTGACAGGTTAACGGTTTATGAAGGAGAACAGTGAACTGATAGTGACAGGTTACCGGTGTATGGAGGGAACATTGTACTGGTAGTGACAGGTTACCGGTGTATGGAGGGGACAGTGTGCTAGTTGTGACAGGTTACCGGTGTATGGAGGGGACAGTGTGCTAGTTGTGACAGGTTACAGGTGTATGGAGGGACAGTGTACTAGTAGTGACAGGTTACCGGTGTATGGAGGGGACAGTAGGCTAGTAGTGACAGGTTACCGGTGTATGGAGGGGACAGTGTACTAGTAGTGACAGGCTACCGGTGTATTGAGGGGACAGTGTACCGGTAGTGACAGGTTACCGGTGTATGGAGGGGACAGTGTACTGGTAGTGACAGGTTACCGGTGTATGGAGGGGACAGTGTGCTAGTAGTGACAGGTTACCGGTGTATGGAGGGGACAGTGTACTAGTAGTGACAGGTTACCGGTGTATTGAGGGGACACTGTACTAGTAGTGACAGGTTCCCGGTGTATGGAGGGGACAGTGTGCTAGTTGTGACAGGTTTCCGGTGTATGGAAGGGGCAGTGTACTGATAAAGACAGGTTACCGGTGTATGGAGGGGACAGTAGGCTAGTAGTGACAGGTTACCGGTGTATTGAGGGGACAGTGTACCGGTAGTGACAGGTTACCGGTGTATTGAGGGGGCAGTGTACTAGTAGTGACAGGTTACCGGAGTATGGAGGGGACAGTGTGCTGTTCGTGACAGGTTTCAGGTGTATGGAAGGTTACCGGTGTAGTGTACTGATAAAGACAGGTTACCGGTGTATTGAAGGGGCAGTGTACTGATAAAGACAGGTTACCGGTGTATGGAGGGGACAGTAGGCTAGGTACCGGTGTATGGAGGGGACAGTGTGCTGTTCGTGACAAGTTACCGGTGTATGGAGGGGACAGTGTACTGGTATTGACAGGATATCGTTGTATGGAGGGGAGAGTGTACAGGAAACGACAGGTTACCTGTGTATGGAGGGGACAGTGTACTGGTAGTAACAGGTCACCGGTGTATGGACGAAACAGTGTACTGGCAGTAACAGGTTGAGAGGACCCACAATCCTGCGTCGCATAGATAGCTATAGTTAGCACATGTTCTTCGTGTACATTGCAGATTGTCGCTAGTGTGGTTTGGCAACATATTTCCTAAAGGTCGGAGCAATCAGTAAGTAAAGACTGATTTAGACATGTTGGTTATCTTCACTATATCACAACTAAATGTCGGCTTATCTCGAGAACGTCTGGGACAGTGTGTATTGTACATAATATAGAGTGAAGGTGACTGTGATAACGAAATTAGCAATAATGTCGGGTAGAGCAGCCAGAAGTAGGTGTGTCACAGAAAGGTAAACATCAGGGTAGAACAGCCAGAAGTAGGTGTGTCACAGAAAGGTAAACATCAGGGTAGATCAGCCAGAAGTAGGTGTGTCACAGAAAGGTAAACACCAGCAAAAGAAATAGATGATAGGTTTGAACTGATAAATATAACGGAATGTACAATATTTAAAACAGTTTTACATGTATTTGTAATCCTTCTCACAATGTGTGCCGGTGGTGGATACAAGTGAAATCGGACCGGTCTAGTTCTGTGTTAACTGTGCTGTGTATGTCATGGCCTCATACCAAAGGGAACAGGCCGTGGTCGGTCTGTTATCTACGTGCATGAGATCAACCGACATGTTTCAACACGACTAGACTGTTGTAGCTCGTGACAGACCCTCCGGCGTCAGCATACAGAGACTTGCCATGTATAAAATTGACCAGTCAATCAATAAATGTTTTCTGAACATTCCAAACATCAGCTGGCTCTATTTTGTCATGTACTCTTTGATTGTATGTGGAGGGCTTTGGTTTGATCAGTATATAATATACCCTGAAGAATTTGATACATGAAAATGAGTGTACCTGTGTGTATATATGCATACATACACATATACTATGTGTATTTGTTTGCGTGTAGTTTAAATATTTCAAAGTATACAAATGTTCACCACTGCTCACTATAGCAGTGTCGTTCTATCTTTATTGCGTTCAGATTCATATCCTTTTGATTAAACAGAAATAGGCAAGTGAAGTAGTATATATATGATAAATTGTGTGTGTGTGTGTATACGTGTTTCTGTATTCATGTGTGTGTGTACGTGTCTCTGTATGCATGTCTCTCTTTCTCTCTCTCTCTCTCTCTCTCTCTCTCTCTCTCTCTCTCTCTCTGTGTGTTATCCTTCTTGTATTAGGTAAGTCCCTACAGATCCTATCATCTACTCAGATATTTCGTATTCAGTATCCCAGTGGGTGGGTGAGAGTGAGGGGGTGTAGTTCAAACCCTTAATCCCAAAGATTGAGTGAGAGAGAGGGAGGGAGGCAATGAGAGGGTGAGAGAGAGGACAGGAAACAGAGGGGGGGGGGAGCAAGAGTGAGAAAGAGTGAGAGGGAGGAGAGACAGGAGGGAGAGAGAGAGTTGAGAGAGAGCAAGTGTGAGAAAAAGAGTGAGAGGCACGAGAGACAGGAGGGAGAGAGAGAGTTGAGAGAGAGCAAGTGTGAGAAATACAATGGGAGGCCTAATTGTGGATAAAAAAATAGGGAGGTGGGGGAAGTGGGGTGGAACTGAGGAAGGTGAGAGAGGGAGGACTGAGAGGAGGGGGAGAATGAGGGACGGAGAGAAAGTAGAGTGTACGATGAGGGAATGGGGGAGAGATTGAGATTGAGAGAAAGAGGAAGGGATGAACTATTGAAAGTGTGGAGGGAGATTGTAGGACATTGTACACGTGTAGTAATTTCTGTTGTTGGGTCATGATGATGATGATGGTGGTGATGATGATGATGATGAGTTCACAGTAACGAAACTGATAACAAGTGCAAAGGGAAGGATGTGTAAAGTTTTAAATTTGAACAATATACTTGGGAACTGAATAGAAGCAGAATGGAAGAAGGTCAAAGACCGACGGATGACAGTCACACAGAGAGTGGGGGATGTACACCAGCAGAGTGCAGGAGGAAACACAATGATGGAGACATGTCATCAGACGCGGAAAGCGTGGAACGTGCGGGCATTGACACGGCCAACCCACACAGAGTGAGTGAAGAAGCAGGCATGGAGGAAGCAGAAAATAAAGATGCTGATGAAGAGAGTGACGGACTTAGTGATGGCACAGACGAGGAAGAAGGGGATGGGATACAGGATATATCACAACTTGGAGCAGGTGCTGTAGCGGTCAAATTCCAGACTGGTCATCAACAGTCATATCAGCTTGTAGGTAAAGGTATGTATGTCTTAATGATAGCACATGATGCTTTCTTGATACATGACTAGTCACACCTAAAAGAACATGAATGGCTGATAGCATTTACCACCCCATCATAGCCATCAAGTACTTACAACACTGTATTACGTTGGCGATGAATCCCGTTGAACCTGAGGTGAGTGTTGGGCACCAATGTTGCTTTACACACTATATAAGCCTACTGACAATTAGCCCTGCGGTATTGTATATATTTGGCTATACCATTGTAACAACTTTGTGAGAGGTAATATTTTCAACTGCCATTTGCCGAGAGAGGTTCAACATTTGAGTTTTGAGACCTGTTAACTGTTGGATTGTATAAACAATCCATGAATATGCATGTGATAAAGATATTTGTATTGTGTTAGTGGTATTTTGTGTCAAAGTGCAACTGCTGTGTATTGTGAACCATTGTTTCTATACCCTCTGTAAGCAATTGCCACTTTGTCCTAAGGTATTGTAGGTGTCTTGCTATCTAATAGTAACTTTGGGAAAGATATAACTGTGGAACTGTCTGCACCAGCGTGTAATAAACACAACGTTCATGTCATTATGATATTCATTGCAATTCATGCGAGCTATAGAGACCTGTGGCTCTATTTCGCTGACCTCTTAGGTTTTGAAAGCCCTGTGGTAACTGGATAGTCATGGACAGACTCTACTGTGGTGAGTGGTGGTGAAACCAGACTGTCTGACTGAAAGTTGCAGTCCTGATTCCTCTGCTGTGTTTATAGACAAACTTTCACTTCAGTAAGAGTATCAAAACATTCCTCAAGACAGCATTTGGCATCTCTGGTTTTTCTATGGATGCAATGATGTCCTGTCAGAATCAGTTATAGGCACTCAGTGATTAAACTACAACAACAGCAAGTCCAGTTTCTATTTAAGAGTATATATTTTGTGCGTATTATGCCATTTTAACTATGTTAGTATTCATATGGCATTGTTTGTGTTATGTTATTGGTCTCTGACCTGTTTGTTTCTGTGTAGGTCCTGGAACAACAAGTCTACAGGTCCCGGAAACAGCAGCCCTGACACCAACATCCACAAGTACAACTAGTGTAGTTCCAGGAACAACAAGTCTACAGGTCCCGGGAACAGCAGCCCTGACACCAACATCCACAAGTACAACTAGTGTAGTTCCAGGAACAACAAGTCTACAGGTCCCGAGAACAGCAGCCCTGATACCAGCGTCAACATTGTCTCTTCTGCCCTCAACACCAGCATCTCTTGTGTCACAGATACAGTCCTCTGGGCTGCCTGAAGTACCACTGACTGGGGACGTTCCTGCAGGTGGGTGGTTTTACCCAATGCTGTTGATCTCGTTAAGACTAAGAGGAGCTATCATTTTATCTCACCAACCCTTACAACCTTACGTCTCTGCAAATAAGATCAGATAATTTACATTTACCAGTACCTCATGTTTTGTCCATTCCTGATATATCCTACTTTTTAGGCATGGTATATCTCTATCTTTGAAGATGTGGTGTCTATGTCGCTAGTGTTTGGCAGAGTGTCCATAAACATTCCCAGCCCCCGTAGAAGCTTGTTTGACCTCAGCGCAAGTCTTTGTCAATCTCTGTTTAGTTATATCGAAGCAATTTATGAACAAACGGAAATTGGAAGTCACCTTTCAGAAAAATAGGCTGATGTCATCACTTGTTCTCAGAGTCACTAGTGCTATCTAAGTTCAAATATGGAACACGTCAGTGAAACCTTCAGTCATATGACTTCTGTTACAGCAACACTATGCAGCTTTGTTAAAGTCGAGCAACATTTTGGAGATGTGACCATAGAAGTGTGTTTGACCTCAGCATAAATCTTCTTCAACCTCATTTTTTCAGTTTACCAAAGCCACTTATACTTAATTTCTTTGGGGGGCATTTAGAAGTTGGGGCAGTAAGGAAGGATAACAATGTGTGGATAAACAACTTCTTTATTGCTGTAGGTTCTAACACCGGCAGCACCTTGCTTGTTAGAACCTACACCGAAACGTCACTCTCAAAGCAATAAAGAAGTTGTTCATCCATAGTTGTTATCCTTCCTCACTTATACTTAGCAAACACCTTTCAGAAAACGTCATACGGAGTGTTTTTGTCTGCTGATGTTACCAATTGTTTCCCGAATCACTAGTTGAATATAAGTTCAAATATGGAACACATCTATGCAAGCTTCAGTCACGTGGTTTCCGTTACAGTCACACAGTACAACCTTATACAAGTACAGCAGCAGTTTGGAGATGTGACAGTGAAGGGAGGCAATAATCTGAACATTGGCGGAACTCAGAATATCAGTACAACTCCGACCATAAAAGAGGAAGAGGAGATACCACTGACCGCAGCACAGAAGATCAGGAGTGAGTTATTTGATGAACTTGTTTTTACAATGACTGTCCATATGGTGGCAGTGTACGATTAAACCGGACTGATATAATCTCAGTACTGGATATGATACATTCCATTCAACAGATTTAGCCCGGAAGGTCTGGGTGAGAACTGGTCTTCAGCAACCCATGCTTGTCTTAAATGGTGACTATTTAGATGGTCAGGTTCGCCAACTTGGTTGATGAAAGGCATGGCGTCCCAGTATTTTAGATTAATACATCTGATATCAGTCATAAAGGTGTATTGCTCAGTCACGCACGCACCCATGCATTCACGCACTCACTTATATAGTATATAATTGTGATACGCCTAACTATACTTTTTCATTTGATATGCATCTCATATATTCACCTGATCAGTTGCAAAAGAAACTCTGCCGTAAAAAAGGTATTTCAATGAGCCCTTTGGAATTAAAGTATGCAAAATGGATTAACATTTCCACAAATAAATAACGGTCAGAAAAGGTTTTACTCCTCAACATTATTCAGAAAACATCAACCTGATGCAACGACAGCCTGTCTGTGGAATTGTATAGGAAAAATTATGTGGTCTTGACAAATGTCTAAAGGATTGGTAATGATCAAAAAGTGAATAAGAACAGCACACAAAATAAAAGGGTTGCTGGCTGGGCCCCGTGTAGGACGTGCACTTTTCAACTTAATCCGTATTGACATGGGGTCGCTACTGTCGGGGCAGTCTATAACTTGATTGTTTTGCTTAAAACATTGACACAAGTACCAAATACTGTTTCGTTGAATCGCTGCTCTACCTATATCTCGCCATCTGTCACTTCCCCCAGGCGTGACTTTGTCATGCTTCAGTTTTAGTGATATATTCTCATTTTAATGGGCGATTCGACTTATCATTGGCCACGTCTTGTTACTGGCATCGAATTGCATCGGACATGTGTTTATTCTTTACACAATACGTAATAACCTTTTTAGAGCCTTAACAGAATTTGAGTAACTTTTACATGGGGCAGTGGGGTAGCCTAGAGGTTAGAGCGTTTGCTTGTTCTGCATAAGACACAGGTTCGAATCCCTTTTTTTTAGTAAGATTTTTAGGTTTGAAGTTTGTTAACTGTTGCATATATTTTATGGATAAATATTTTAAATGTGCCTTGTGTCCACAGAAAGGACGACATCCAGGATACAGTCATGGACTAACGACATGGTGGAGACAGACGTCCTCAAGAAAGTGAAAGAGAAGCTGGACAGAGGAGCGACATGGGTGACAATTAAAGGAAGACCAGGAGAGGGGAAGTCCACAATAGCCTACATGGCTCTCAAATATCTACACAGTCAGGGGAGACAAGTATACCAAGTGGTGTCACCAGAAGAGTTCAATGAGGTCACGATGGCCTGTGTTAATCCTGTCATTATGTTAGATGACATATTTGGTGATCTGGAATTCGACACTGCAGAATGGAGCAAGTGGAGACCAAGTCTCAGACCTATTGTGGATGTTAAACATCCTGACACATATGCTGAAAAAGATCTTTTAGACGTTTCTACCAAAACTGAAAAGGTTTCAGAGAGGACAAAGATTGATCAAAGACAGGTGAAACGAACAAGTCCAAACAAAGACGAAACTATCATTATCCTCGTAGGCCGTGACTATGTGCTGAAATCCTCACTGGCAGACTTGGGAAGGATGGCAGATTACATTTCCAGTCCTCAATACGTGGTGGAAGTTTCCTCGCAAAGAGGCTCTTATGAGCGAAAGAAGATATGGCGTGTTCATGCTGAAACCAAAAACATAGACATCGATGAATCAACTGAGTCTCAGATTTGTGAGGCCGACTGTCCACACGGCTTCCCCCATGTCTGTAAAATGTTTGTCGCAGCATTTGAAAAGGATAGGACTCAACTTCAAATGTTTTTTCAAGCGCCACTGGATTTCCTCAGAAAGACTTTGGATAAATTTCTTAAAGATAAGATAAAGCGTTCACTGTTCATGGCTATGATTAAAAGAGATGGGAAGATTAGTGAACAAGACTTGGAAGAGGATGATAGCCTCGGTTATGAATGCATAGCAGCTGCTGATGATTTGGTTGGATCTTACCTCAAGAAGGAAGAGGACACCTACATGTTTGATCATCCGTCTATATATGACAGTGTTTCGTTTATTCTCAGTAAAAAACAACCCAAGTTTGTCATCGAAAATTGTAGTTTGTCCTTTATAAATCAGCGACTTCGTCTTGCACACTCCAGTAAAGAGAAAAAAGAGAAAAACCTTGCTGGTGACACAGATCTTGTTGCTAACATCTCATGGACTTATGCTGAACGTTTGGCCAGAAGATTCGCAAGTGAAATGCAAAGGGGCAATTTGTTGCATGTTTTATCACACCAGTCACTTTGTTATTCAGACTTTGTCGACTTGCTAATGGACTGCCTGAAGACCCGGTTTCACATGCGTGTATCTGATATTGTGAAACTAACTGATAAATCATCCAACAAGTCATTTTGTGAATTACTTTCCAGCAGCAAGTCACATCATCTCATCAAATATATTATGGAGAGAGAAAATCTCTTATTCACCCAGAGTGAAAGACGTGACATTTTACTGGGTGTTTGCACAAATGCTGCGTGCGATATACTGAAATACATCAGTGGACATATGGAACTTGACATAAATGCTACATACGGTAGGGAGGAAAAGACGCCGCTTATGTTGGCAGCAGAAACCAGGAACAACGAGTTCGTCAATCAGATTTTGTCACTTCATCCTGACCTAAATGCAAGAGACAAGTCCGGTCAGATGGTGTTTAAGTATCTTTGTGTTAATGGCCTCACATCAGCTGTGGAGCATGCGAATGACAAGGGAGTGGAAGTTAATCAATACCAGGAACTATCCCTTCTGTACACTCTCATAGAGAAAGGTCACTTAGAGGTTGTGAAAGTGCTGGTTAACAGAGGATGTGATATAGATAACCAGAAAGGTCTTAGATGTGCTGTTGGGAGCCTGAACGCCAATATGGTACGTTATTTTTTAGACAGAGGAGCAGTGGGTGACTGTAGTGTTGTGTGCAGAGCTTGTGAGGTTGGAAACAGAAATATAGTCGAGATGTTGTTTGAGAACGGTGCTCCTGTTGATATGGAGTCACCTGATGGAGAAACCCCTCTTCTCCATTCATGTAAAGGAAACCCAACAGCTGTTTCGTATTTGCTGACTAAAGGGGCAAGTGTCAACCAAGTTTCAGATGTTACAGGTGACACACCATTTCATACAGCAGCAATGTGGGGATCTACAGAGAGTGTTGATGTGTTACAGAAGGCTGGAGCTGATGTTAATGTACAGAATAATGCAGGTGACACACCACTTCATATAGCAGCAAGAAGTTGGGGATATACAGAGTGTGTTGATGAGTTACTGAAGGCTGGAGCTGATGTTAATGTACAGAATACAGAAGGTGACACACCACTTCATATAGCAGCAAGACTGGGATATACAGAGCGTGTTGATGTGTTACTGAAGGCTGCAGAAGATGTTAATGTACAGAATAATGATGGTGACACACCACTTCATATAGCAGCAAGAAGATGGGGATCTACAGACTGTGCTGATGTGTTACTGAAGGCTGGAGCTGATGTTAATGTACAGAATAATACAGGTGACACACCACTTCATACAGCAGAAGGACAACGATCTGCAGAGTGTGTTGCTATGTTACTGAAGGCTGGAGCTGATCTTAATGTACAGAATAATACAGATGACACACCACTTCATATAGCAGCAATGTGGAGATCTACAAAATGTGTCGTTATGTTACTGAAGGCTGGAGCTAATGTCAATGTAAAGAACTGTACAGGTGACACACCACTTCATACAGCAGCAAGGAGGAGATGTACAAAGTGCGCTGATGAGTTACTGAAGACTGGAGCTAATATTAATGTACAGAATAATACAGGTGACACACCACTTCATATAGCAGCAGTAGACACGGGATCTACAGAGTCTGTTGATGTGTTACTGAAGGCTGGAGCTAATGTTACGGTAAAGAATAATACAGGTGACACACCACTTCATACAGCAGCAAGGGGGGGATCTACAGAGATTGCTGATGTGTTACTGAAGGCTGGAGCTGTTGTTAATATAAAGAATAATACAGGTGACACACCACTTCATATAGCAGCAGGAAGGGTATCTACAGAGCGTGTTGATGTGTTACTGAAATATGGAGCTGATGTTAATGTACTCAATGATACAGGTGACACACCACTTGATATAGCAGCAAGGAGGGGATTTACAGAGATTGTTGATGTGATACTGAAGGCTGGAGCTGATCTTAATGTACATAATAATAAAGGTGACACACCACTTCTTAAAGCAACAGTTTAGGTATCTACAGAGTGTGTTGGTGAGTTACTGAAGGCTGGAGCTGATGTTAATGTACAGAATAACAAAGGTGACACATCACTTCATAAAGCATCACAGAGGGGATCTACATAGATTGTTGATGTGTTACAGAAGGCTGGAGCTGATGTTAATGTACAGAATAATGCAGGTGGCACACCACTTCATATAGCAGCAAGAAGTTGGGGATATACAGAGCGTGTTGATGTGTGACTGAAGGCTGCAGCAAATGTTAATGTACAGAATAATGAAGGTGACACACCACTTCATATAGCAGCAATGTGGAGATCTACAAAATGTTACTGAAGCCTGGAGCTAATGTTAATGTAAAGAATTGTACAGGTGACACACCACTTCATACAGCAGCGGGGGGGTCTACAGAGATTGTTGATGTGTTACTGAAGGCTGGAGCTGATGTTAATGTAAAGAGTAATACAGGTGTCACAACTTCATACAGCAGGAAGACTGGGATATACAAAGTGTGTTGGTGAGTTACTGAAGGCTGGAGCTGATGTTAATGTACAGAATAATAAAGGTGACACAGCACTTCACACTGCAGCAGGAAGGGTATCTACAGAGTGTGTTGATGTGTTACTGAAATATGGAGCTGATGTTAATGTACTCAATGATACAGGTGACACAGCACTTCATATAGCAGCAAAGAGCGGATATACAGAGATTGTTGACGTGTTTCTGAAGGCTGGGGCTGATGTTAATGTAACGGTAACATGCCATTCCTGCGAGAGTAACTAGTGTTATGTGTTTTTATGTACGCGCCCTTTTTCCTTAATTATTCATGTCTGCACAACTTTCACCCATAACATTAGGTATCATCTGAAAGATCATGTTCTCACCTAATCTGTTTTGTTATATCTATAATCTTGGAAAAATACCTTCACTACAAAGTATACCAACCTACTCCCTGTAGCTCAATTTCATCCGTTAAATCCCTATATCTCATATTACTTAGATATTATGATTATACTTCCCAGGCAGTCTGATAGGGAAGTTTCTCAGCTTGCCACCCACGTATGGATTTATAACTTTACAATCACTTTAGTTAGTAATGTCGTATGTCTTCGGAATTGAAAAAGCACAATTCCTGGGGACTGGCGGGTCTGAGAGGGTTGTCCTGTTAATTGTTTCCTCCGACGTCCGCCCATTCCCCTTATCTAGACCATGGTAAAGCCCATCAGGGCCGAACATCGCCACTGCGCTAAGGAACTTTGGGGAGGACCTCGGGAAGCCGGACATGGGTAATTATGGAACACCTTCTTCATATGCTCTATGTGGTTGCTTTGAATAAGCCAACTGTAAGGATGTATACTGACTAGACTTCCAGAGAGTATGTCTACGTCTATTCCTTCTTTTTAAGCCATATGATGAATTATATCTAGTTCCTTGACTTATGCCCGGTCCGTGCTTCCCTAGTCCATAATATATTTTTGTGTGTTTGATCCACCCCGTTCCACAATTTGTAATTGTCTGGCAGTGACCATTGTGTCTTGTACTTTCTATGATTGTAGATAACAATATAATGTCATTCTCACCCAACCTGTGTTTGTTCATCTTTGACTCCTAGTATATTAGTTTGTGAAAACGTCCTTTTGGAGTGTGGAAGTTTGGTTTGCCTAAAGCTACGTTTCTGTCTGCTATTTGTTTTATGTTACGGTACGGAAACTAAGTCAGTAGTATACCAGTACCAGTATATCGCGAGGTGTCCGGACGCCGTAACAATGTACTGTATGATACAGGTGACACACCACTTCATACAGCAGCAAGACTGGGATATACAGAGGGTGTTAATGTGTTACTGAAGGCTGGAGCTGATGTTAATGTACAGAATAACAAAGGTGACACACCATTTCTTATAGCAACAGTGTAGGTATCTACAGAGTGTGTTGATGTGTTACTGAAGGCTGGGGCTGATGTTAATGTACAGAATAATAAAGGTGACACACCACTTCATACAGCAGCAAGACTGGGATATACAGAGGGTGTTGATGTGTTACTGAAGGCTGGAGCTGATGTAATTGTACAGGATCCGGTTGTATCATTGCTTCATTAACTAAATGTCAACATTAAACCCTAATGATACATTAAATCCTTAATGCATCATTAGTTAATGGCATCATTAAAAACGGTTGTATCAAACACTTATTAGCGTATCATTATCTAATGACGTCCTAAGGTAAATATTTTAATTTCATCCGGGGATTCCCCTAATATTTTCCCACAATTCCGCGCTGTAAACATGTAAGTGTTACTCTCGGTCGTCTGTCAAAATGGCATCTTTAGGGCTAAACCTCGGAACAAAAACAAACATTTCGACTGCTGTGAAGAAACACGTCTAAATAATTCTGAAACGTCGCCGAGAAACCTAGAATCGGTTGGGATGTGTTGGAAAATACACGAACACCAACGCCGAACTGAGCTTTCCGCCATATTGGATAGTGTTTACAAAATCAAGTTTCGCTAAGGCCTGTCATAGGACGCCTATTACATCATGTATATTTCATATTCAGTTGTGACAAATGCATCGCTGAATTCCTCATACATTTTAGAATCAAATTCCAAATGGTCCTTGTCACTAAAACGAAGTGTCTAAGAAAAATCGAAACATATTGGGGGTGAAAACAGGACGTTGTGCTCATTACACAGCGCTTGCTAGAAACATAAACAAAGCAAAATTCAGATTTTATACTGTGCAGCACTTTTCATTTTTTTAGACATCAGTTCGTCTATTCGTAGCATGCATGAGCTCAATATTTTTAGAATATGCACGGAAAGAGTATCGTAGCAAGAACTAGAAAACTTAAAACAGATACAATACTGAAATTTATAGAATACTGTAACTGACATTCTCGCGATCTCGCATTCTCGCAATCTCGTCCTTTGGAAACAAGCTAAAAATGCCAAAAGTGCGAGAATGCGAGATCGCGAGATTTGGCCAAAATCTCGCGTTCTCGCGATCTCGCATTCTCGTGTTTTTGGTACATAGCACTTTTTGTCAAAAGTCGAGATCGCGAGAATGCGACATTTGTACATGCTGTCAAATCTCGCATTCTCGCAATCTCGACTTGTCAAATATGGCAACAAAAACACGAAATCGCGAGATCGCGAGAATGCGACATTTTTCATTTTCTCGCGTTCTCGCGATCTCGCGAGATCGCGTTTTAGACGCTGTCCTTGCGCATGCGTAATATCATAAGGTCAAGGCGCATGCGCATCTTAGTAGTGCTGTGGTCATGCTTCTTTCATGCCTTTCATTTCCCAAGTAGCATTTAGCAAAATTATGACATAGCTTGAAAATGCTATGCAATTTACATACACGATGTGTAGGGTAGTGTATATAAGTCAGTTCCCGTTGTTACAATTTCCTATGTACTTAAAAATCCTCAGCGTGTTAAATATAATTTAACAAACGAAATTGTGAATATGAATGTCCAATAAAAGTCAATACATGAAAGTGTCCGGAAGCTGGAAAATATATTAACGTCAATGAGTGATAAAATAGTGCTTAAAGCCGCATCAATTCGCAGCTACACCGTCAGTTATACAAATAATCACAGACCAGTGAGTTTCTCCATGATGCAATATCATATACGGCTAGCATATTCATTCAAACAAAATTCTAACAGGCCAATTTGTAGCAGTCGGCTAAAATGAGCATGTCTGATGTTTTACTCGACACCATATTCGCTACTTTAATAGATTTTCTTCCGCTCCCGCCTGACTACAAAACATCCTGCTTTATACTATTCTTTTGTCTTCAAGTTCCAAGAAATAGAAATACATTTGTATCGCTAATAGTTGTGTTCCTGTGGCAGACATGATATAGTGGAGTTTCAATGTGTTATTAACCACAGACTACGGGTTATGAGTAAGATATCTGTTTATTTCCATATCGTTGTGGAAGAAGACACCCTGTAATAACAATAATATACACGATATACACAACATAAAATCAGCTCTGATGAACATGTCATCATAATAAATATAGTGCATAAATGTGCCTATCAACAATCATATACAGGTATTACGCGATGCAATATCACACAGGTGACTTACGTGATCACGTGTTTACAGTGATATACAAAATGCGTGTTGACATAAAGACTTATAATAATATATAGTATAATGATTAAATAGACTGTAGATACTGTACAAAGAAACCTATCCTGTGGGTGACACGAGAGTGTGTCTGCACATCCAGCAGCCGCACAGTCAACGCATGCAATAATCCCATATAGGTACCACACGTTGATCAAATGTAATCATTGTCAAGTACATACAATATACATGATAGATGAGATATATCAATCTTATCATGATACAGAAAATAGTTACCAAACGACAACTACTAGCCAACCAATTGACTGGACATTTAGAAAACTACCATAAGCACATTCATACACGTTAAATGGTGTATTGTGTATTGACTTTTATTTTGTTATCATGGGCATATTTATACCTTTTTTGTGTAATCATTAATGTTAGGTTTTAATTTACTTTGTATGTAAAATTATAATGTATAATAACTAACTTTTGATTCTGACCAAACTGACACACAGAACTGTACATGAAACACAAAGACATAAGAGGCCACTAACGGGATCGGGTGGTCAGGCTCGCTGACTTGGTTTACACATATCATCGGTTCCCAATCGCGAAGATCGATTATCATTATGTTGATCACTGGATTAGCTGGTCCACACTCGATTATTTACATACCGCCGCCATATAAACTAAACTCAATCACTCACTCACTGAAACACAAGGACAAGAGGCAGCTGAACTTACAACTAATTGCAACTTAAATGCATAAAGAAGTCGTCGTCTGCGAGACCACTATATCCTGATATAAGATAATGATGATTAGTTATTCATTTACGTGCACAATATACAACCACTCAATTCAGGTGCCAATCTCGCGATCTCGCGTTCTCGTGCTTTTGTGCCAATTGCTCATGCACTTCTATAAAACGATTTTTAAAGGGGCACTGATCCATAGCGATTAATGTTTCTCGCCAACTGTCTCATTTCAAATCCTAGCTGCAAGCTGGTCAGTACCTGCTCCCTCGACCGTGACGGACTCGGGCACTGGGCTACTGTCCAGAATTTCTTCAACATAAACAGTTGGACATTAGGAAGGGCGGATGCAAATCAGATGCCGTTATTTGAAACTATACCCGGTAGTTCTTATAAAGTATCCCAGCAGTGTAGGCTTTTCGGATTTTCTAATGCCTGGATTTAATCATGTCATGTAAAAATAGGATGTCTATTACCAGTGTATGAAATAATGCACGTCCGACCGCCCGCGACGGGTTAGATTTCTGACGGAAGATGATCTGGTAACACTTTTTCATGTTCCATACATATCTTGGTGTCTGGTCTGGTTAAATCAATTTTGGGCTGGTAATATTTTGAAGTTACCAGCCCTGATGTCTGGCTGGGTTTTGGCTTATTTCATACACTGATAATACATGTAAATACATCATGATAAATATGACAATTTCTCTAAAATCAGGAGCGGTGGGGTAGCCTAATGGTTAAAGCGTTGGCTCGTCACGCCTAAGACCCGGGTTCGAATCCCCACATGGGTACAATGTGTGAAGCCCATTTCTCGTTTCCCCGCCGTGATGTTGCTGGAATATTGCTAAAAGCGGCGTAAAACCAAAACTCAATCAGTCAGTCTCTAAAATCAAGTGATCCCTATGGGATGTCTCAAACATTTTATCATGATTTGTTGCATTTAATCAATGCAATTTGAGGCGAGATTAAAAAGACACACTATTTGTCTGCCTACCACAAAAGTAACAGACAGACAGACAGATTTATTTGTATAAGTGTAAAATAATATGTGTAAACTAATAACAGTGCATTTATGCGCAACCTGTAAATACGCGAGTTATAGGAACATCAATAAATCCATAAACACCCATTCACAATTTACATTTTCTCTCTCAACATAAGTATGTGGTACAACACAAGGGCTACCTTAAACAACAAGTCAATATTTTCTGTGGGAAGTAGCATACAGAATTTATCGTGCCGCTTGGACTTTGAAGTTGTGAGCGTTACATCTAAATTTAGTAAGCGTACGCTTAAGTTGTGGTGCAAAAAAGTAACTGATACATAAATTCCAAAAAAGGTGAGGTGAAATTGGGTTTTACGTCGTGCTTGAAATATTTCGCTCATATGACGACGTGCATGCGTGTGTGTGTGTATGTGCGGCTGCTTGTACTAGCCCAGACTGAAGCTGGTTTTATAGTGCTAGACCACTGAGATACCATGCCGCAGTAAAGCATGATGACCCCACTCAGACACATTATACTGACTCCGAGCTGACCAGTCTTTGTTGTACCCATTAATTCCGAGCGCCAGACAGGGACCAACAAGTACCATATTTTAACGTCTTTTGGCATGACGCAGTCGGTGATCGAACCCGCGACCTTCCGCTCTCCGGGCGGTAGCTCTGACCACTACACCACGGAGGTGGTCTCCAAAAAAGGAAAATAATTTGCTATTAATTCCCCACTAAAAAAGACAAG